TCTAAAGAGTTCAATCAAGAAAATCCTATGGAGCAGTTCTACTGTGTAGCACGTGGAATCACCATGAGTCTAAATAGGTTTATTTGCAATATGTTTAATTTCTATAGTTTATATTTTATAGATGATAGCATGGATTCGTGATGTGGTGCTAACCACAAAGTCGTTGGTTCAGATCCACCAGCTGTTCCTCAGAAACCCTATACAGGGTTGCTATGAGTCAGGACTACCACATCTCAACAGCATCTTGCCTTTCCATTGTTGATCATCCAGTAAAAGTGACACCAGCTCAGTCTTATCTGATCAGCTCTAAACATAGCCATTGAAGTGCTCCAGGAACCTTAAGCTCAGTGCTGTTCAATTGATTCCGATTCATAGTGACTATATAGGACAGGGAGTCCTGGTGTGGCGCTGTGGGCTAATACATCAGACTTCAAAGTCATTTGAACTGCTATGTTGGTGGTTCAAGCTCACCAGCTGCTCCTTGGAAACCTTATACAGTGTCACTATGGGTCAGAATTGACTCGATGGCACTTAACAACAACAACATATAGGACAGAGTAGAAGTGCTCCAAAAGATTTCCAAAGCTGTACATTTTAATGGAAGCTGACTGCCACATCTTTCTCCCAAGGAGCAGCTGGTGTATTCTAACTACTCACATTTTGATCAGCAGTCAAGTGCTTTAATCGCTGAACCAATAGGCCCCTGAGACACAACACTCAGAGTGTTTTATATTGCTTTCATTCTACTAATGCACATATACGATAAAACCAGTAGCCACCAAGTAGATTCCAACTCATGGAGACCCCATGTGTGACAGAGTAGAACTCTGATCCATAGATTTCCATGCCTTTCTTACAAGGGACATTCTGCAAAATATCCGACCAGTACTCTTTAAACGCATCAAATCAAGATCATGGAAAAACAGAAAATGACACAGAGATAGAGGGGATACCATGTTTAATACAATGTAGCACAGTGGATTGGATTTTGGACAGATTAAAGCACATTAGTGGAAAAACTGTGCAGTGTGGATAAAAGCTTGAGTTTGGTTTATTTAGTATTGTACTGATATTTGTTTCTTAGTTTTGATAAATGCCTGAAAATGGTAAGACAAGATGCAGACATTAGGGGATGCTGGATGAAGGCTAGATGAGCATTCTCATGTGTCTTGGCAACACTTCTGTTGTTGTTGTTGTTGTTAAGTGCTGTTAAATCAGTCTGACCATAGCTACCCTGTATAAGGTTTCCAAGGAGCACCTGGTGAGCTTGAACTCCCAGCCATGCAGTTCAAACCAACTTTGCAGTCCAGCGCATTAACCCACAGTGCCACAACAAGACACTTTTGTAAATCTAAGTTAATTAAAAACAAAAAGTTTGAAAGTATATCCCTGAGTGCTAAGCACTGTTAGTATTTACCACTAAGATTATTCTATGCTGGGAAATACTTTTCAAAAATATATGGTATATATATTTTTTGTTCTTTACCCATCTTTTCAATCCACACAAACAATGAACTAAGATAGAAGCAAGTATGAAGACATAGGCAAATAGGAGAGATGCATTCACAGCTATAATTTTAGGTATAATTATCCAGGAATCACCTTCTAATACTTTCTGGAAGAAGACACAACATAATCTCTTTTACTGAGATTACAATTAACATGGTTATAAATTAAGCCTCATTTAATGAATATGTTAAAATAGTCTTTCAATTGCTCTTATTTACTATCTCTTATTGCTTCTATTCATACACCCTTCTTTCCAAAAGACAGAGGCTAAATGCCCTAAAGACATTCAAAGTCAACTTAGAATTGACTATTTCTCAAGACCTAGACTACCAGTCAAACATTCTGGCAAAATCACTGAGGCAGTAGGTAAAAAGCATCTCAGCATCAAAATTCGAATAAGTTAAAATCATTTGACATATGGTAAAATGGGTATTTTCTTAATTTTTTTTCCCCCACTGCATTTTTTTCCTCCATGCTTTCTGTAATCTGTGTGTGTGGACATACCTTGGAGATATTCCAGGTTTGGTTCCAGATTACCTCAATAATGCAAATTTCACAATAAAGTGAGTCACATGAATTTTTTTAGTTTCTTAATGAATATGTTATGTTTATACCATCATCTACTAAGTGTGCAATAGCATTATGAGAAAGTTTGAAATGTGAGAATTACCAACACATGACACAGAGACATGAAGTGAACACATGCTGTTGGGAAATTGGTGCAAACATACTTGCTCAACACAACATTGCCACAAAACTTCAATTTGTAAAAAAAAAAAAAAAATGCCGTATCTGCAAGGTGCAATAAAACAAGGTATGCCTGTATTAACTTTTAATACTGGTAGTGGTAGTTATGTGCAGTGCAGTCTGTTCCGACTCATAGTCACCCTGTTCAGGGTTTTCGAGGCTGTAAATCTTTACGGGAGCAGAACGCCTCATCTTTCTCCCGCGGAACAGCAGGTAGTTTTGAACTGGTAACCTTGAGGTTTGCAGCCCGATTCGTAACAACTACGCTACCAGAGCTCCTTAAATACTACTAGAAACTAATTAAAAATAGGTCTAGTTGTTGCTAAGTGCCGACGAGCCGGATCGGACTCATAGCAACTCTTTACCCTGAAATAGGGTTTCCGAGGAGCAGCTGGTGAGTTGAAGCTGCCGGCCTTTATGGATCCCGTGGTATATATTTATAATTTTATAATATGCTATAAAATAATTATCAGAAGTATAAAATAAATTTATAATTTAATAAATTTATAAAGTAGGGTCTGATTAGAAAATGAATGATGATGTATCCCAATGGGAGGTTTTGTACTCAGACATATTAGAAGGGGCCAATCCCTGGAGAATGACATTGTGCTTGGTAAAGAGGAGGGTCAGCAAAAAAGAGAAAGACTGCCAACAAGATGAATTGGCACAGTGGCAACAGCAATGGGCTGAAGCGTAGCAATGATTGTGAGGCTGGCGCAGGACCAGGTAGGATTTCATTCTGTTGTGCATAAGGTCATTATAGGTCAGTGCTGACTCAATGGCACCTAACAATGACAGCATAGGTAGCATGTTATAAATCTTGGTTTAGGACATCTCAAGATCAACCCTGTTGTTGTTGTTGTTAAACATCATCTATAGGGTCTCTGGGTTGTGGCTGGTAGGTTTGAACCACCAACCTTGTGGTTAGGAATCCAGTGCTTTTCCTATAGCATCACACCAGGACTCCACATCAACCCCCCCACTACATCAAAATTAAGGTACATTTTCCTGGAAGCCAATTTGACAGGAAATAGACGAGCTCATTCTTTCTTCAGTTACTGGTGAAGAGGTAGAGTTATTTTTCACAATATCATATTTCAAAAGGCTGAGCAGAGTACAGTATTTGGAAAGAATTTGGAATTTGCATCTCCACCTCTTGCCAGCTGGATGACAATGCGCAAATTATTTAAACTCATCAATCTTCAATTCCTTTATTTGTAAAATAGGGATAATTTCTTCCTGATAAAATGATTATGCTGAAAAGATTATATACATTAAAATTCCACATAATATATTATACATATATTAAAGCCTCACATAATATATTATACATATATTAAAGCCTCACATAATATATTATATATTAAAACCTCATATAATCGTATACCAATGGCACCTAACAACAACATACCATCTTTGCAACATAATAATTTCATACTTCACATGTGGCACAGAGGTGAAACAGAGGTGGATTAATTTTTTAACTAAGCAAGTGCTTGGAGCCTAAGCAAAATTGTGCCCCAAAATGAGAAAAATAGTTACGTAAAATGATTTGTTTTTTCAAAAGAAAATTATTGAAGTAGTCACCTTAGTAAAAATAAGCTTAATTATACTTTCTTGGTGTAGCACTGTAGGATGAGTACTAGACTTCAAACCACAAGATAGGCATTTCAAATCCACCAGCTGCTTCTCGGAAACCCTATACAAAGTCACTATGAGTTGGAATCAACTCGACAGTACTTAACATCAATAACACTTTGAAAAATGCTTTATTGTCCCATTGTGAATTAGATATAAGAGTTAGCATCTTAAACTTTTCAGTGCTTACATACTCCAAAAGCATTCATCTATCACTGACTTCCTTCTCCTTCTTGATTGAGGATCACATCCAAAAAACACTCACACACCCAATCATTTTACCAAATTGGATATGTTCTGGTGTGGTGTGGTAGGATAAGTACTGGACTGCTAACCACAAAGTCGGTGGTTCATACCCACCAGCTATTCCTGAAACATTCTATACAGGGTCACTAAGAGTTGGAACTCACTACATGGCACTTACCAACAACTATTATTATTTTGATAACTTTATGCTGGTATGCTTAGAAGCTAGCTTTTGATTTATAATAATTTCCCCCTTAATCTAATTAAAGACTGTGCATTTCTACTTCTATTGTGCTTGCTCATTTTTTACCTGTGCTCTATTCATTCATGTTTTTCTGGACTGTTAAGTGTATCATCAAGTTCATACACACCAGTAACTAATAGTGTTTTCTGGCCTGTTTTGTGAAGGAAGACTATTTTTAATCAAACCTAAATGCATAGGTTGTTGTTGTTGTCAGGTGCCATCGAGTCAGAACCGACTCATAGCAACCCCATGCACAGCAGAACGAAACAATGTCTGATCCTGGGCCAACCTCACTACCGCTACCACACCTGATGCCATCAATGATGCCACCTGGCTGATCCATCTCGTTGGGGGTCTTCCTCTCTTTCTCTGATCCTCCATCTTACCCAGCATGATATCCTTCTCTAGCGACTGTTCCCTCCTGACAATATGTCCAAAGTATGAGAGACGAAGCTTAGCCATCTTGGCCTTCAAGGAGCACTCTGGCTGCACTTCTTCCAAAACAGATCTATTGGTTCTTGTGGCAGTCCATGGCACTTTTAGTATTCTCCCCAGATACCACAATTCAAAGGCAAAATGCATAGGTGATAAACTTTAAAAATGAAATATGACTTACAGGTATTTTTCTGTTTGATAATACCTCGATGCCCACAAATTGATGTACAGCAAAGCACACTAGGTAAGTACTCATGGGGACAGACTTCTGGAAAGTGGTTTGATTCCACTTATCATCTAATGACTCTTTTTTCTATGGAAAACAAAAGATAACTTTTTAATGATGAAAAAGATCAATTATATACAAAGCAAAACAAAAAACAAACAAACAAACAAAACATTTGCCTCAAACCTGGCTTTCTAGTTAGAAACCCTTTGTTAGTGCTTAAAGGTAAAATTACTTTGTGGTGATATTGAAAACACTAAAGAAAAAGGTCATTCTACTTTCAAGTGAAGCATTTTCCAGTTATAAAAGTGATTGAATTGTACTGTTTTAGAACCTATAAAGCATACAGGAATTTATTTATATATTTAAAGTAAATACACAATTTGAACCATTACATTTGAGAAGATACTCTGATCCCTTAATGAAGAATAGACTACTGCTCAATGTGGTGCACAAAGCAGAAACTAAGTATTGCTGATTTGAATGTAAGTAAGAAGGCAGCAGCTATATCAGGTAAAGCAGGGTTGTCTACACAAAAGAACCATGGTGTGTTCATTAAAACTGCTGCTTTAATTACCATGGAGAGAGACATTGATTCCATTGCTTGATTCTACTGTCCCAATCTGATTTCCTGTCCATGCCAGTCCTGCATTCCTCATGCCAATCACCAATACTAATATTTCAACTATGAATACTTGTTCAACTCTTGCTACCACTGTTTAAACATGCCCATGTCTCCTGTAGCCACTTTCTAACACTATAAGGAAAGCTTTATGAAGGGATTAAATGAGGGAGGCTGACTAGATTTAATGCATCACTGACAAGGCATGCATGCATGTGCATGTGCTTGTATAAAAATGTTGGGGCTCCAACAAGATAAGCTACTTTACAATAAATAGCATTTGCTTTACCCTTCTGATGACCCAGAAGATTATCTTTCTTCTAGGACTAGATCTGGATAAAGATCAGAGCATCTAAGTAAAGGTAAAGAATTGTACACGGCAAAATGAAAAGTTCATGTGGGAAAGTCTTAAGCAGAAGTCGGCAAAGCTTGCCTTCTTTCTCTTCCCATCTTCATTCCCTGTCTATCCCATGCCAGAACATTCTAATTACATTTTATCCTATTCCAGATTTCTGGATTCACGTGTCATGTTTTAAGTCCTATCAGATTCTTTCTCCAATGAAAACTCAATTTCTTAGGGGCCTGGCACCAAAGAAAACAAGATGGTTAAGCTCACAAGTTTTGTTTTGTACTACCTTCTCCCCCCACCTGCCCCCCTGTTTTCAAAAACAATATTTTCAATGAAAAGGCATGGTTTCAATGATTTTTCAGATAGTGGATCAGAATGACTGAAATAAAATTTTGAGCAGGATGTTCTTTGGGTATTAAGTAGTTGACAAGTATGCCTAAGTATGAACTTGATCTTTTGTTATTTCAAATGTATAAGGTATAACAAACATCAAAATTCAGGTAATGACACTTTAGTCAAATATGTTATCCATTATAGGCTATCATCATGGGTATGAGAAGCAATAACAGAAGAAAAAGAGTCTATGTCATTTAATAATTATGCAGACAGAATTGACTGCATCTGTCTGTTATTATTATTGCTATTAAAAATTAGCAAAAACTTCCTGTTCACCTGAAAATCTACATGCGTGGTGTTCTCTGCGTTGACTTCTACACCCAATGTTTACAAATTTGTTTAGTTTAACCATAGGAGTATATTAAAAATGGGCTTTTATTCAACTGCAAATAAAGAATAGTGACCAGACCTTTGAATATTCTAAAGTCTGTAATTTTATTAGTTTGCCATTAATTGGTCATTATTAGGACATTCTGTCAGTTAAATTGAGTCCAGATGTTATATATCCATTGTATTCACTATTGTTTAGAAACCCCAAGTGGCCTTTTGACTGGACTGTGACGTTAAGAGTTAAATATCTCTCAGACTAAAGAGGAAAAAAGAAAACAGAGAGTCAAAATGTAATCTCAAGTTTCTAAGTAAACTTTTAGTGCACATTTAATTTCAAAATCTAACTGATTCTCTTTCATAGCAAATCATTCTAAATAGACCATCTGTATAAACAAAAAATTTCAAAAATACTCACCAGCACTGGCATATTTGAAAGTGCGCTATATTCTTTTGGGTGGATGATAGAGATAGTGTAAGTCGCCTTTTTGTTGGGTTCGTCAAAACAAGGGAAGGATTTCCTGGCATCTGTTGGTTCATGGTCAGTTGCTGCTATGCTCCTTACAAACAAAAATAAACAAATTTATGTTGCCTCTCCTGACAGCTCCTGTGTTTCTACTGTGATAGGAAAAATATGTGCTTATAGCTATTATATTCCTTAAAATGTGTTTCCATTAGAAAACTGTCAAGTAATTTTCAGTCTCTCCTGGGATCTTTTGGTTTAGAAATTCATGAGAATTTCTGAGACTGCTTCGGATATTTTCTTCCAATATTTAGATATTTTAATGCTATAACTAAATATCTGTGAACTGCAGAAAAAATAATTCCAATTATGAAGTATCACTCTCTCTACTTAAAGCTACAGAACAAGTAGATAAACACAAAGTCAAATGCAAAGGTTTGTTTCTAACTGTCCTTGTGAGAAGTCAACAGCTGCTTTCTGTCAGAGAATAGAAGAGTACGTTCCAGAGCCCCTAGCTCCTGTCCTTAATGACACTTTCTTCCTTATTTATATTACATCAAGGACAAAACCCTCAGTTTCATGTCTATGTTTTGGTCTGATTCAAAATCCACTTTTGTAAGGAGACAGTAGCATTCTGTCCTGGAGCCTGGGTAGAATAATGATTAAATGCTAGGCTACTACCCAGAAGGCAGATGGTTCAGATCCACCAACTACTTTGCAGGATAAAGGAGATGGCAACCTGCTTCTGTAAAGATTGCAGCCTGTGGGGAAATTCTACTCTGTCACACTGGGTCATTATAGGAATCAACTTGATAGCACAAAACAACAGCTGGGCATATGCTTGCTGTAAGCTAAAATGTGAATGTTCAATGTTTCCATCATTTTGAAGTAATAATATTCTTTCTAAGAAATAGTTTAAAAATCAATTAACACATCACCATTTACATATAAACATACTGAAATAAGACAATGTAGTTTTATACTATATGCTCATTTGAAAAATAAGCCAACTACAAAGTGTAAGAAAGGAAGAGCAAAGAAATGTTGAGTTATAGTCATTAATGAATTGTTTGAGGTTTATTTTCCCTTCAGGATTCTCATGGTAAGTTGTGAAGATGACACAGGACTGGAGATTGCTTCTTTTTGTTGTACATAGAGTCACTGAGTTGAACCAACTCAACAGCACCTAACAAGATTCTCAAAGAGTGAGGAAGGCATATTATTAAGTAATCCATTAAGTTAATTATGATTAATTCATCCATCCATCCAATATTTATTGATACACCCTTCATCCCCCAACACACACACTAACACATTTACTAGGAATTTTTCTAGATGCTGAGAAAATAACAAAGATCATTTAGATTACACATCTAATTTTCTATCAGGTGATAGTAAATATGTGAATAAGTAAATAACTTAAGGGAGTGACTCAGAAGTGATGGACAACATTAGACACTTAGGTATAGCAGTCAAGGACTATCTCTCAGAGTAGATGAGATCTGAATAATGAGGAAAAGCCACACAAGTAAAGATTTTTTTTTTTTTTTTAATGTGCTGTAGCAGAGGGTACAGAGTGTAAAATCCTTGAGGTGAAATAGAAACTTGGTGTGTTTGAGGAAATGAAAGTTGTCCAGAATAGATGAAGTACAGTGTACAAGTCAGTCTGGGACAAAAGGTAAAACCAGCAGAAGCCAGATTAGGATGATATTGTAGGTCATGATAAGAAACTTCATTTTCTTTCAACTCAAGGGAGCATTACATATTCTGATCTCAAAAGTAATATACCATATGTCAACATGAACCTACAAGACATTATGATTTTTTTTTTCAAAAACACTCAGAATATAAATTGCTTGTTACAATGTTGATCTAGAAAGCTAATCTATGTAAAAAAGAAAGAAAAAGAAATCAGAAAAATGGCCACATTACGTTTGAAGAAAGAAACTTTCTGGGATGATTGAAAAATTCTATATCTTGCTAAGGGTGTGAGTTACAGGGATATGTGCATTTGTCAAAATTCACTGTATTATGTCCATCAAATATATACATGTTAACAATGCATATCATTTTATTAAAATGCAACTAAAATTTTGAAATCTCATCTTTTTTGCAGTCATATGGATTATTGGTTCTGAAAAAACTGTCTATATTCTGGTTTAAACATATAAGGAAAATCTATTGAAGATAGTGCAAAGTAGGCTTCTCACTGTTGGGAAAATGGTGATAAATCTGGAAAGGAAGAAAGCTAGAATGTATCTTGTAGTATTGAACTGTAATTACAGACCCCATTGTGAATTCAATAATTTTTAAAATACAGATTTAGATAGATAGTTATAGTAATGTACATACAGATATACATATTTCCCAGCTGTGTGAGCTGAGAGGAACCAGAAAAAATGGCAATCTAATAGCATTGAGCACAACTAGTTCTCAGATGTTGATTTCTGAATACTATTCTTCACTAAAAGGAACCAGGACTTAGAGAAAGGGTTGATTCCAGGCAGAACAAAGTATAATATGATCTTGAAAAGTCTTGCTTGGTTCAAATTAAAGAAGTACAAAAAATAATAATAGAACCAGGTCAAAAGAACACAGGAGAGGAGACGGGGCTTGATGGCATCTAGAGTGGAGGTGCAATGAAGTTCTCCGTCAGAAATACCACAGAATATCAGGCAAAGCAAACCCAGGGTAGAGGTCCAAAGCTTGGAACCACAGAGATGGGAATATTTAAAAGGATTGAAAGCTTATAGCTAGTGGAACTTGTAACAAACGTAAAAAATCATGTACTTTTGAATCTGCAAGGCTTGGCAGACTGGAGCCAACAACTTGGGAAAGACCAAATGGCAAGACCAAGCGAGGGAGCAGACACACCACAGAACCCCAGAGCAAAGGTGGACAATACGATAAGTTGGTTTTGCTTTGTTCTGATTTTCTTTTCTTTTTTTTTTCTTTTTGGTATCTGTTCATTGCCGCCCCCCCCCCAATTGTTTGTGCACCTCCATTCTGGTAACTGGGGTGGGGGTTGCCTGAGCAAGTGGACACCCCTCACCCTTACCACTGGTGGGTTCTTCTGCCATGTATGCCCATAGATACACTCAGATCAAGAGCTGGCCCTGAAATACACAAAGGCCAGGACAGGGGTGTAAAGAGGGAAAGAGAGCTTAAAAACAAAACAGGCTGAAAATTAAATTAAATCCTGAAGTACAGCATAACAATAGTGGCATCTTGAAATCTATCAGGCAGCTTTGAAGGCAAAAAGCTGAAAAGAGGACATTAAATTCACACTCATATTGGTGGCTGGCTGTGTGTCATGAAGTCAGTTCAGACTCACAGTGAGCCTGTGCAGGATTTTCGAGGCTATGGATCTTTGCTGGAGCAGAACGCCTCATCTTTCTACCACAGAGTGACTGGTGGTTTCGAACTGCTGACCTTGTGGTTTGCAGCCCAATTTGTAACCACTGCGCTACCAGAGCTACAATTTTTTTTTTTTTATCGCTCCTCTCCCTTCTCTCCCTTTTCTGTGATTATAGACTACAGTATTCAGTCTAGTTTGTTGTTTGTTTTTTTTTTTTTATTGTTGTTGTTTTGTTTTGTTTTTTTGGTGGGTTTTTTCTTCTTGTTTTTTTTTTTTGCTGGTGATGTTTTGCTGTGTTATGTTCCCCCTTATACTTTTGGGGGATTCTTTCTCTCCTTATATTACCAAAGAAGAGACAGAAACTGCTGCCATATAGTCAAGCTACAATCACACTCTATAAAATGCCAAAACCCAGGCAAGAACCAATACCAACTGCCATATAGCAGGGAGGCAGACAACAGCTGTGATAGTTACTCTGAGTTAATCAATAAGAAGAGTGAAAAGGGAAGCCCACATTCTGATTACATCTACCTGGAAGCAATCAGAAAGGATAAAAAAATACCAAAACACATACTCAATTAAGTATTAAGGCCACAGATAATCATTAAATATGTCCAAGAAGCAAAAGCATATGATCATATCAGCACATGTCCAGAAACAAGATAAAATGTCTGAGACAAATGACCTAGAGTTAGACCTGGACTCAATTCTGGAAAGAGGGCAGGCCCTGGAAATGCTTGAGAAGCAATTCAGAAAAATGATTATAAAATGTTTGAAAACACTTTACAATGGAGTTGAGAAAAATAAGGAAGAGGTCAGGAAAGTGCTACAGGAACAATCAAATAAGATAAATACACCATTGGAAACAATTCAAAACCTACAGAAAGAGGTCTAAATGATCAATAATAGCATATCAGAAATACACAATACTCTGAAAGAGCAAAGGAGTAGAATAGAATAGATGGAAGTGAGAACCAGTGAGCTGAAAGACAAATCTCTCAATACCACTAAGACAGAAGAGCAAACAGAAAAAAGGATAAAAAAGTCTGAAGAAAGTCCTAATACATTTTATGAAGCAAGCATAACCCGCATACCAAAACCAAGGGAGGACGTCCCTAAGAAAGAAAATTATAGACCAATATCCCTCATGAACATAGATGCAAAAATTCTCAACAAAATCCTAGCCAACAGAATCCAGCAACACATCAAATGAATAATACATCATGATCAAGGGGGATTCATATCAGGGATGCAAGGATGGTTCAACATTAGAAAAACAATCAACATTATCCACAATATAAATAAGAAAATAGAAAAGAACCACATGATCATATTGATTGATGCAGAAAATGCATTTGACAAAATCCAACATCCATGTCTGATAAAAACACTCAACCAAATAAGAATTGAAGGTAAATTCCTGAACATAATTAAAACATATATACAAACCCAACAGCCTGCATTACTCTCAATGGAGAAAAACTGAAAGCCTTCCTTCTGTGATCAGGAACCAGAGAAGGGTGCCCTTTGTCACCACTCCTATTCAACATTGTGCTGGAAGTCTTAGCAAGAGCTATACGGCAAGACAGGGAAATTAAAGACATCCAAATTGGCAAAGAGGAAGTAAAACTCTCTATATATGTAGACGATATGATCCTATACGTACAAAACCCCAAAGACTCAGTAAAAAAGCTACTAGACCTCATTGGAAGATTCAGCAAAGTGGCAGGGTATAAGAT